GCATGCGAGAGAAATGTGGCGGACTTTGAGGCGTAGTCTGCCGAAATTTCGACAGCGCAGGGTCGGCTTTGATCCCCTCAAAGTTGAAGCATTGGATGACCAATGGATGCCCCATTTTTGCCAGCTTGAAGTGGGGAGACCTACCACGCCGATGCAGTTGCTGGAAGACTGCCATCATAGGCAACTCCACACACCAGTGCAACAAAACCATTTTGATTTGACAGACTTGCCTACGATTAGCCAGCTTGAAGATGTTTTGCGACAGACACCAGCAGGGAAAGCCACAGGGTTTGATGCTTTGCCTTCTCAGTTTTTTTGGCAAAATCCCTGTGATTTGGCGGATATCTTTTTCCCACTCCTGTACACCTCAAATTGCCAATTGAAAGGCAAGTTGAGCTGAACAAAAAATGCTCCAGTGACTATCGAGAGGCCGAAATCAGCTGAAATTGAAGTGAAACTCATTGGAAAATGCGGCAGTCCGGCCAAACTGCCAAAAACAGAGCCAGCGTCAACCATACTGCAATGGCTCGACGCATGCGATCCATTGCCAACAATCGCAGCAAAACTCCAGCAGCGACACTTACGGACGAAGCAAAAGGAGCAGCCGGATTGGGAAAACGGCAAAGGACAGCAACCCCAAGAAGGGACAGGAAGCGCTCACTCACTGGTGATAGCCATGGGGATCCATGTGGGCGGCATCAAGCCAAATTCGATCTTCGACGGTTGTGACCTGGACCTGGAAGGGTGCACACTGTAGTGCCAATGAAGGTGCCACGCTCAAGACGCTTCGAAGCGGCGCCGCAGCGCAGCTCGGGCCCGAAAGGACCGAATCGTGGTGCCAAGTTCCTGCAACAGTTGGTTGTAGCAGACCGCCGGTTCCTCACCGGTCTTGGCGGCAGCTGCATGGGCCACGTGTTTCAAAACTTTCAAGGCACTGGGATCCCACGTGCCGGTGCACTCAGCAACAAGAGGAACAAATTTGACCCCTTGCTGCTCACAGGCCTGGGCCGTGTGGAGGTGGAGTTCCTTGTGTCTGGCATAGGCTTCTGCCGCCGCCGCTGTGCGCACGCTTGCCTGTGCGAGAGTCTCCTGCCGCTGCGGCGCCGTGATGGCAAAGTCAAAAGCAGTGGGAGACCCCGCAAAGGCGGGCAAGTACACGTCAGCGGGTCGGCGGGCCTGGCTGTTGTTCATGTCTTCCGGGCCGGTGGGGAGAAGTAGCCCAAGCTTTTCCCGTTCCGGGCGTAGGCCGGCTCTTTGACACCAGGTATGCACCAAGTCGCGGACAGCGTGATGCCTTTGTGTGCGCTCTCCGCCAGCAACGCACATCCCGGCGTGGTGGCTGTTGTGATCAAGAACAGCGTCACAGAGGGGACACCACGTGTCCGAAGCTGCATCTGGTACTTGGAGGCGGACACGAAGTTCTGACAAGAAGGCCGCAGGTTCCATCTGGGTTCGTCCGCTGGGCACAGCATTCAAGAAAGCTCTCCCCCCAACAGAAGCTTCAGCGAGGAGCGTGGCCCTGCCGGTAATGGTGCTGTGGGCTAGTTGCGTTTCCCAGGCAGCCAGGTCAATCATCTGGGACAAAGCTTTCTGTTTGTGGCCCAGAGCGGTATCGAGACTGATGGCTTGACTTGCCGGAAGCTGGGCGTTAAAGGCGGCAAGGGCGGCAAGGACGTCTGGGCAAGCTTTTGCTTCATCCAAAGAAAAAGTTGCGTCAAGCTCAGCAGCAGAAGTCAGAGTGGATGCCCAAGACGCCAGGAAGGCGGCAGCGGCATGCTGGGAAGTTGACCGGAGGCCAAGCCCCCCATGCGCCAGGCCCAATGATGCTTGCTGCCATTGCGCTGCTGTAAGGTGCAAACCCGTGAAGTCCCCAAAGCTCCGCCGGAGCATGCCATCGAACATGTCAAGGGCCATGGTTTGCGCCGTGACAGGGTTGCAGCGCATGCTGTGGAGCATCCGAGCAAACCCGGCACAGGCGCGAAGAAGCCGTAAGGCAACCTGTGGGTCCTCCAACTCTCCCAAAGAGTCAAGGAGGTCGCCTGCTTTGGCGGCCCGTTCAGCGGTGTGGGCCCGGACAAAGGCAGCATCCCCAACGGCGGCACCCAAGAGCTCGAAGTCACGCTGCACCTTGTTGGACCCCTCAGCGTCACGAAGCAAGCTGTCGGGGAAGTGGCAATGCAGGGCAGCAATGTCCGTGGACCCAGCTGCAACCAGCTCACACTTGGCCAGGTTCAAGGTCAAACCCATGGTTGCTGCCCTGGCTTCGACCAAGCGGAGAGCGCGGCTGACCGCAGCAACATCCCCAGCCAGAATCCCATCATCGAGGTAGTGGACTGCAATGTCCAAGCCAGCGTTGCAAAGGTCGCGGGCAAGAGGTTGGATTGCGACCGCAAACAGGAGAGGTCCTAGAGGATCACCTTGTTGAACCCCAGCACTCGACTCAACCACCCACTCAGCAAATTGCAGCCGGGTAGGTCGCTGGTAGCACCAAGTTGCCCACCGGCTCAAGGCAGGGAAATGCTCCGAGACGGCTGTCAGCACTGCAGCGCGATTCACCGTGTTAAATGCATTGGTGAAATCGAGTTTTAGCGCCACTTTGTGAGAGGAGCACTGCTGCCGCCGGTGCCAGGCTCGAACTGTGTGGACGACTTTTTCAGCACCTCCCGGAACAGCGACGCCAACTTGCGCAGGCCAGAAGTAGGACCGTGCATCTTCACGGACCAGGCTCATCAAACACTTCCCCGTGAGCCGCCGCAGGATCTCCCCAACTGCTATAGGCCGAACTCCTCCATTAGGTTTGGGGAGCGCGACCAGGCTTGCCCCAGCCAGAACAGGCGCAACGAAGTCGGGCGCACGGCCTTGAGCCAACAAGTTAAGCACCGCCGTCAGTTGGGTGAGGAAAGCTTCACTGCTTCCAGCGACACAGGCTTCTTTGAGGTGCAGAATGCGAAGGCCACAGGCCCCAGGCGCCGTCTCGCGAGGGAAGGCACGGAGGCAGCGACAAACAAGGTCAGGGGCAAGTTCGGGCGCGAGCGGAAGATCATTGATGGCGGCCACTGTGGGAGCAGGCTGATCAGGATGAAGGGCCCGCAAGGCTGCAGCTGTGTCAGCAGTGGGGGCACACAAGCCGGTTGACAACAGGGCCGCACAGGCCTTCCGGTCAAAGCCTTCCCGGGCAAGGCTGGTGGCCAAGGTTTGTCGCTGCTCTTTGGAAGGTGTGCTGCCGCGGCTTTCTCGGATTTGAGAGCGAGAGTCCCACAGAGACAACCGCTCCCCTTCCTGCCACTGTTGAAGCCGGTCCAGGGTGTAAGCGGCAGCGGCTTTCCGGTGCTGTCTCCCTCCCCGGGCTGGGGCGCAGAGCACACACTTAGGGAGCATGAGCAGCTCCCGCCAAGCAGTATCATCATTGCTGTGGGCGACAGCGGCCAAGGCACGCGTCAGGACCTGGCTCCAGCTGTGTCGGGCTGCAACCGGGATGTGACGAAGTGTGGCTGTCTTGGCAGCTTGAATGGCAACCAGCGAAGGAAGCTGCAAGGCGTCCGTGTCCATGGGTTGAGCTGGGTCAACCGCAGCCGCCCGGGCTGCTGGCCGGCATGTGGGGTGCACCCCGTGGGTTTGGGACACGCTCAGCCCGCAAACAAGGCACCGTGTGCGGTTCTGCGAGTGCAGCCAAGCTGTGGGCACATCGCCCTGCAATGAGCCCGCAAGGTGGGCATCGATGTGATTCCTCATAGTTGTCCAGCTGGCCCAGCCCCTCGCCCGATTAGGGTCGGAGCAGGGACAAATTGGCACAGGGCAAAACACACGTCCCTGGCCGGGAGCTCGGGGCGACCTCTCTCGGGGGGGGCGATCCCCGCCCAAAGGCGTGCCAGGCATGGGTGGGCCAGGGTTTTGGGCCTCTCCAATTCGGATGCCTCGAAGCGGCCACCCGCACCAGCGCTGCCGCCCGACCTCTCGAAGATGGGGATGGCGCCGGCGAAGCCGAACCCAAGGACGGTTTCGCCAAGGCAAGAGAGGATCCCAGGTTGTCTCCGGCGGTGGCGCTTGCTGGTTGAGGAAGCCGGTGAGCCGGCGACGTTGATGCCTTCCAATCATAAGGGGAAGCCAGACAGGAGAAGGCGGAATATCCCGATTGGGAGTGAACGGCCATGGGAGGGCACAGGTGTGGATGCGGCCAGCGGCCCAAGGGATGAAGAGCAGGGCTCGGAGGAAGGAGCCACGAGGAGAAGGCACCATGAGCTCCGTGAGCCGCAGCGGTCCCAGTCGGGCCAAGCCAGCGCACCAGAGGTCGCAGACGTGGGTCCAGCCCGGCCTAACGAGGACCGCCGCAGCTCAGCTGCCCCCCCTTGACCGGCCGGTCCCTTCGTGCTGGGATCACGTCAAAGCACTTGTCCAGGGTGCCGAGGAAGAAGAACTCGGACCAGCTGAAGGTGCCGACCAGCAAGGGGGAGACAGCCACGCGCACGGCCGATATTCCCACTCCTGCTCAAAATGTATGTCTGGCAACATGAACCCATTGCAGGGAAAGGAGGTCAGCTTGCTGTCATCCACAAAAAGGCAGTCCTTATACTGCACAAAATTATCGTGGCATCATGCTCTTGCCGACCTTCACCAAACGAGTCCATGCACTCTTGCGGATGCATATCATGCAGCTCCTCCATCGCCAACGCCCATCTGGGCAGCTAGGAGGGTTCGCGCACCAACAAGTGATGTATGGATCTCAATCCTTACAAGCATTTGGACGCATCATGGATGGCCAGAACATTACTTCAGGCATTTTGTTTCTTGACCTTACGACAGCGTTCCACAGGCTTGTCAGAGAATGGACGTCCGGTATCAACCTAGATGCAGACCTGGAAGAAGTCTTGGAGGCTATGGATGCTGAGGGGTTGCCAGTGGCTGACATGTGTGATCGGCTGCATTTGCCGTGCCTCTTGGAACGTTTGGGTGCACCGGCATTCCTTGTTCAACTCATCAAGGATGTCCACACCAATACGTGAATGGCTGTTGGCACTTCACAAACACTGGCCACAACCAAGCGCGGCACTCGACCCGGGAGCCCGCTGGCGGACTGCATTTTCCATGTGTTGATGTCGGATATCTTGCATCACCTACAAGTGTGGATCGACTCCCATGAAGCCTTCAATGATATCCTACGAGAATTGGACATCACAGGTAGCAGCTTTGTTGCTTGGGCGGACGATCTTGCAATTCCTTGGGCAACGAGGACTGCCGATGAGATGCCAGAAGCCCTCAGGGCGGTGCTGAGATTTGTTCAGCAACTCTTTCATCGTTATGGGTTCTTGCTGAACATGGACAAAGGCAAGACGAGCGCTGTTGTGTCCTTTCGAGGGACAGGGGCACCGATGCTTCGCCAGCGTTTTCAACTGGGTCCACGGCCAGGGGATGAGATCCCGATAGGCGACCACACATTCTTTTTGCACTACGTGCCCTCTTACAAGCATTTGGGCACAGTTTTCGCTGCCAACCACAAGATGGACCTGGAAATTAGAAGCCGCATTGGTCAGGCGCAGGCCGCGTTTAACCAGATTTCCAAACCCATCTTGACCAATAGGTATTTGCCTGAGCGAACGCGTGTGCAATTGTTTCGTGTTTTGATCGAGACCAAGCTCTTCTTCGGCCTCGGAGCCTGGATTACGCCGCCCACCGCCAGATGGCCAAAATTAAAGCTGTCCTGCTGAGAATGTTACAGAAAGTGTTACGTCTCACGAAAGATGCTATTCTTTCGACATCGGCAGCTGAAGTATTCCGACGTACCCAGCAACCGGATCCACGGGTGCGCCTAGCCACTGACCGACTGCTCTATGCACAGGGATTGTGGGAACATGGGCCAGCTGACCTTCAACATCTGTTGCATAGAGAACAAGCGTTATGCCAGACATCATGGATGGATGGGCTGCTTGCCGATTCAGAGTGGATGCGCAAGTTGGAACCTGACGCACAGCCACCTATAGATCCCTCCGATCTGACTGCCCTTTTTGATTTTTGGCAGAGCGGCACAGCAGAATGGCAGAAGCGTGTCAAAAGGGCCTTCAGACGCTTCCAGAATCAAGAGCATATGATGCATCAGATGCATAGATTCCATGGTCAAATCATGAAAGCATTGCATAGTTGTGCCACACTCCGAGATTTGCCAGTGGATTCACATGATGCAGATGAGGAGCACAAATGTTTTTGCGGTCGTTGCTTTACCACCCCACAGGGTTTAGCAACGCATAAACGCAAAGCCCACCAAATCGGTGCCCTGGAGAAACATCTCATCGACGGGCCCACATGTCCATCATGCCTCAAGTTCTTTTGGAGCCGACAAAGGCTCTACCAACATCTCTCATATATTCCGAGAAGGACGCAGGTCAATCGCTGCTTCCAAGACTTACAGAAGCGAGGTTTCCGAGTCCTTGAGGAATTGACACCTGCGCACCAGGCACAACCCAGAGGGCTTCACCGCACTGAAGCCTTGCAGGCAATGGGGCCGCATTTGCAGCCGAAAGATAGTCGCAGTAATGAGCTGCTTTTGACACGCCAGCGACTTGCACAGGTGGAAGAGACCATCTTCTGCATAAGGGTCCCAAAGGAGGCAGAAGTGCAGCAGAGCGCATACTGGAACTGCCTGACAGCAATTACTGAGGAATGGTTTCAGCGATTTCGTGAAGCAGGGTTTGATGCATCCATGACTGTTCAACTCCCTGACCTGTGGTTAGATGCGGCTGCTACAGCAGATCCAGCGTATCCAGAATGGCTGGAAAGTGTCTACATTGGATGGGGTGAAAAATGTTTAGAAGATGTCATCGCCAAGTTTGAAGACGGTGAGGCTGAGTCACTTGTGGATAATGCTTTTGCGGATTTCATTTACGAATTTCCAAGGATGCAAGCACTCTCAGAGGCCGCCTTTCTGAGACAGAAGGTCGGACGTCTGGATCAAGAAAGAGGCTCCCTTTTTCCCCACAGACCGCCGCGGTTCGGCACTGCCAATGCGAAGGAGAGAATCCAAACGGCCTTACAGATCCCTTCCCTTTTTGCACAACAAGAGGAGTGGCTGGAGAAGGTGCGTGCAATTCGGTTTGACACAATTCCTGATTGCACGACTATTCCACGGGGTGTTGAAGCTCACACTCAACTGCCAGTATTCCTTGTTGTCCATCTCTTCAGCGGAAGGAGAAGGGCAACAGATGTCCATGCCAGACTTGAGGAGTTTGCACAAGACAAGGGTTTCAGGGTCCAAGTTTTGTCACTTGACACAGCCGTTTCCGTTTTCTACGGCAATCTACAGGCCGGCCATACTACTTGGAAGTTTCTCACGACCTTGTACAAGGCAGGACGTGTCTCTGCGACAATTCTGGGGTCCCCCTGCGAGACATTTTCAGCCGCGCGCCACCATCCTCCTGATGGGGACCTCTCTGCTGAAATGACTGGGAAATGGCCCAGGCCCCTTCGCAGCGCTGCCCGATTTTTTGGCCTTGATGGCCTTACAACACGAGAATTGAGGCAAGCAGAACAGGGAGCGGAGTTTTTCATGCAAGGGATCTTGGCTGCCGCCTGGACCCTCCGATGCGGAGGTGTTTATTTAAGTGAACACCCGTGGAAGCCAGAGGATGAGGCCAAAGTGAGCATTTGGACCTCACCCTGGGCGCAGTTGATCCTCCAGCTCCCGAATGTACGATTGCATAGGGTCTGCCAGTGGAGATGGGGTGCAAGTGCAGTCAAGCCCACAGGAATCCTTGCCATCAATTGTCCTCTTTTCGCACAATCCGCATATAGAAGACAGCTGCCTGATGCTGTCAAGCCTCAACAGGTTGCAATTGGCCGTGACAAAATTACTGGAACATTCCGAACTGCGGTGCTCAAGGAGTATCCACCAGCCTTTTCTGCGGCATTAGCTGGTGCAGTAGCTGATTGTTTCCAAGTGGCGACACGTCAGAATAATCTGACGCTTTGGCCATTGCAAGAGCCAGAAATCGAAGCCTGGGTACAGATGGCCTTACAGGCCTGCGCCAACATTCGCACAGAGGCGCCGTGGCTTCCTGATTTCCAAGGCTGAATACTTTTGTACCATAATTAAACCTCGTTCGCAAGGCGGAACGATGCACGGCAGCAAGGTACGAACCTTTTGCGCATGGAAAAAAAAAAAAAAGGAAAATTCGCACCTTAATATTAAATACCCCCCATTGCAAAACCTCCTCCAGGTGTTTATTATTTGGGGGGGCGGCCGGGTGCGGAAGGGAACCGTTTAGTAATGGGGGCAAGGGATTAAGTCGATTAAATTGTGTTATTTTCGTCTTTCTGCAACCTGTGCATGGCATCGGTATATGATGTTGTGCTGCACGCACGGTGATTTTTTAGGTCTCAACCTGCCTGTGCCCCTAAATGGGCAGCCGTTTTTTGGCCACAAATATCGATTTTTTTTTCCGAAACCGTAATCCATCACCCCAACGTCCAAGTTGATAATCTATTTCCCCTGCCCCTTCAATTAAACCGGACAAACGCGAAATTTACACGACGAAAAGCGTTCTGAGTCTAATCGTGGATCGTGGTTGCCCTTCCGGGTGCGATGATTTAGGACGCCGGCGCAGAGTGTTGCAGAGGTTCTGTTCTCCCAATGCCGCATGTCAAAAATTTGGTTCGTCTCGGGGTGCATGGGCTGGGTCTCAGCTGCCAAAAAAGTGAATGGATCGATTTGTTTTTTTAACCGGTGGTGGGAGCCCTGAATGTGGTTCGAATCAAGTTGACCATTGTTGTTTCAAGGACAAACCTCGAACGGCTACGCTCTGGGCGTTTCCCGGTGATGAAATGTTTGGATTACATGATGAACAGCGGGTTTCCTTGTGGTTGTTGATCCGTTTTGCATCTGCATGTGGCAAGGACAAAAGTGCAATCCTTCGTTGGTCCGCCAACAGTTTTGGTGTTTAACCCCCTCCCGTACTAGTATTTGTGTGGGCGTGATGAATTGGGACTTGCATGTGATGTATGTGGTATTACGAAGCATCACGGTAGGATGTCGTGTTCTGGGTGGGAAGGTTCTGACACACAAGGATTTTGACAACGCAAACGCGACCTCCATCCACTTGCGCACATCCACCAATGTTGTTTTGCAAGCTCTTGTTCAGAATCATTCGCACGCATGGTTGGGATGCATGTTATCAGCGGACCCAACCGCCAGTCAGGACCAGGATGTGGAACATCGCATGCAAGTTGTTTCGGAATCATTTTGGGCGAACACACCACACAAAAATGTTTCCTCGGCGCTTATGTTTCGTCGTTTGATTCTGTTGTGAGCTGGGCGCCTTGTTTTCCACACTGTGATCTGCAACCAATGGATTTGCTGTGCCGGAAGTTGTTTCGATTCGTTGTTGGTGCGCTGATTGGTTTTCATTTTTTCACCATGGCGCGACATTGCAAATGTGTCGAATAATCGCGCGCAATAATACATCACACTACAAGGCTTTGGTTGTTTGGTCCGAAGAAGGTTGCAACATCTAGAAAATAAATCGCATTTTGTTCAAAGAAAATCTCTGGGTGAAACGAAACCTAAAGTTGACTAAAGTGGAACGTGGTTTTTTGATATGTGGCACAAACTGTTGGAAATGTTTGCCGATTGAAAAAAAATGGTGAGTAGGAAAGTTCGCTACGGTTACGGCAACACACATCTGGACGCAACATGCCCGAGAGTTTCGGAGTTAATTTGTAGCGTTTTGTCTCACCGAGGGCACCCGGTGCCTCAAATGGGCAGCCTTAAAGAGGCGGAATATGAAACCAAAAGTGGATAGGATGGTTGGCTCACTGGTTGCATGAGATTTTGGTTCCCCAATTGTGAAGCCGTTGTCCTTCATGGAGATAGATTAAGGTGTTGGGCCGCCAGAAGGTGGAGCAAGTGGTTTTGATTTTTTCCTTTGTGGGTTGACAAGGTTGTTGCTATCAAGAACGCTGCACACTCACATGTAATTTGGTGACTTGGGATCAACTGATCAACCCTTCCAAATGGCTAGCAAAACCCAAGGGCGGTTTTCCATGGATTTTGGGATAATTGTTAATCCTCTGCATGATTCATGAAGCGTTTCTTGGTGACACAGGATTTGTGGATAAGATGATGCGCGCAAGGGTTGGAGATAATGTTGGTTGCTGTTGATCACCATGCTGTGTTGGTTGGTCATCTGTGTGTGGTGGATGTATATCTGGGCGTGATGACTTGGGACTTGTGAGCCGCAGTTCTGGCAGTACCAAGGGGTATCACAGTAAAATGTCCCGTTCTAGCTGGATGGATACATGCGTTTTTCGTTCCTCAAATGCCACCGAAGGGAATCTTGTCCTTGAGTTGGGTCGGGTTTTGACCCTCCAAAAAGTGATTCCACCAAGTAGTTTTGTTTTTCCCTTTTGCGGACTGACACCATCGTTGCTGTCCTCTACGTGGTGGATGCATTTCTTGATGAGATGAAGATGATGAGTGTTCCCGCCCCCCACATTATTTGGCGTTCTTGACATGTAAAATCGTAACTCATGAAGGCGCTTCAGTTTGACTCGAACGATCTCAAAACGAAAAGGTTGATATTTTTTTTGGTTCCACTGATTGACAAACCACTGGTAAACCGCCCGTTGATTTGCACTTTATTGTCAGTCCTAGTCCCTGTGCCTTGAAGTTGTTCCGCCTTGGTGTTGGTAGACATAAACGACATAAACCATCACGATCCCCCAACATGTTGTCTTCCTTTTTGGCTACAAGAATTGTCCAACGCATTACTCGACATTTGGTCGCGCGAACAAAAACGACTAAGAAACATGGAACTAGCAACACAACGGCCAAATGTTCCCGTTCATTGCACCTGATTTCTTGGATTTTTTTTTTTTTGCTAGTTTGGAGTGTTTTTACTATTTGGATTTCTTTGTGAATTGGGTGATTGTTTCAATTGCATGTTTCCCAAGGTTCTGGCGGTCGGGGGCACCAATTCATCGAAACAAGTTCTGAAACCTCCATTATGTTCATGAGCGTGATGTTTTCTTCAAATGTCCCTGGTCTTCGGTGCTAGAACATTTCCAGCCAGGTTTCGAGGTTTCGTTGTACCACACGTGGTGGTAAATATTGGTGATAACCGTCACTTCTTCTGAATGAACAGGGTTTTCTGTTGACTGACAGGTGACTTGTTGCTGATCATCCTTGATATTGATTGTATATATTTATATAACACTTTTGTTCTGTGGCCATTCTGTTGCACTGGATTTTTCATGTGTGACTCCCGATGTACAGGCTGCGGGAAGACCCCGAGCATGGCCAGCACAGGTTTCAAAATCAGGATGGTATTTTATAGTGAAAACCCTTCCGTCAAGCAAAACTCAGCGCTGCTTCTTTTTGACATGATGGCTGCCAACGAGGTCAGTCTAGGCTGAAGGGCTAGGCCAATGAACTGGAGCAGAATTGCAAATGCAGTGGTGGTGCCAGGGGAAGGTGGTGGGTCGGCGCGAAAACCGAAAAGGGTTCCCACCCGCCCACCCACTTGAGTGGAAGTTGCATATCGGGCGACATGCATTTTCACCAATAAAGTGTTGTCTCAAGCGACATTCACATTATAGTGAAAACCCTTCCGTCAAGCAAAACTCAGCGCTGCTTCTTTTTGACATGATGGCTGCCAACGAGGTCAGTCACCCCATCTTCATTTAATCTCGTTAGCAGCAAGTTGAGAAGAGGTAAAGCTTCTGAAGAAACATTGTTTGTCCTTCTGAAGAAGTCCAAGTCAATGTCGTTCCTTGACGGAGGGTCAGCTATGTTGCTCTTTGATGGAACACGCGCAATCCAGGTAAAAGAATGTATCTGTGCCTCCATTTCTGCAAAATAGCCAGCTAGGACATCCACAACTTGGTTGGAAGAAGAGCCCTTAAGAAGGGAGAACTTAGTTCCCTCGTTATCCACAAAGATCAAGCACCTCTTGTTCTTGAAGTGATCCTTCCAGAGTAGGAACGCAAGAACTGCAGCAAGAGTTTCCGCTTCAAAGATTATCTGTTGCTTACTTTGCTCTCCTAAGGTATCACGACCTGTTTTGTTTACAGGCAAAGAAAAGAATAGCACTTGACCAGAATGGTAAAGAACTCCTCCCAGGCCACAGGGCCACTTTGCATCCTCACTTTCGTAGCATGCATCTGTAAAAATCACCACGTTCTCAGACTCAAAGGCTCGCACTTCTCTGGGCACATTGCTGTGCAAAAGCTTGCAGAAGAGATCAAGAAAGAAGATGTCTTTGTCATCCAGAACTTGCTTCTCACCCTCCGCAAAACTGCTGAGTACTCTAAGACATCTTCTGCCGGTCCTCCCAAAAAGTTGCCCCTCTGCAAATTGCATCCTGCCTCTCAAGCGTTGCGCCTGTTTGGCACTCAGTTTTCCATCGCTGATGATTGCACGCAAATCACTGCATAGCTCCTGAACTCTTGAGTCTGTATTCCTCACCGCTGCAAACCCACTGCTTGAACTGCTCAGGTCAAAGGAAACGCCTAAGGCGTCGCACATGTTCCCAAAAGGTAAACATTTATCTCCTTCTTCTGCAAAGAACCAGCCAAGCAACTTGAAGAGAGCCTCAATGGTGGTTTCTGTGCAACGCGACAGGGAAGGCTTGCTAAAAGAAATGAAATCATCATAAAATGATGTCCAAAGCAGACCACATCCAGTAGCACCAATCCACCATATGGCTCGTGAGAGCCTCAAAAACGCATGCACGCTTCTGACAGCTCCAAAAGGCAAGACCCTACTACGAAAATACCTATGGCATTTGTGGTGAGGGTCAAAAACACGTATACATGCAAAACGCCTGCCGTCACTGCTCAATGCAACTTGTCTGTAAGCACTTGTCAAATCGAATGTTCTCGCAACCAAGCAAGGATCGCAGCCCCTTTCGCCGCACATGCTAAACCAAAGCGCAAGAAGTGCACATGCCACATCTGTCGTGTGGAGCACGGGAGATTCAACTGAAGTTACGCATTTGTTGACACCTGATTCAGTATAATCGTCAATCAATCTGACTTTCCCTTTCTTCTGGAGAAGACCAAATCTGCGGCTGATAGGCTGGTCATGAGGCACGCGCTCTGGAGAGAGAGAGGACCCTCCAGCCAGCCTTTTGCGACTTCATCCAGAGTCTTTTGCCATACAGTTGAATCAATGTCTGGATCACCAGACCCAGTTTTGTCATTGTCAAGTTTGGGCCGCACCATCACAGAATGTTTCTGCAGTTCTTGAACTGTTAGTAGCGCAGGAACAAATTTGCCCGGCAGCATCCCAGTTGTTGGTACCTGGCCTGTCAGGTCTGATCCTAAAATCAGCTCATCGACCACATCGATATCCGGAAAACCAGTTGCACACAACATTTCTTTGAACAACAAAATGCGCTTGCTTGACACTGCTTCAGCAACATTAGCTTCCATGGATTGCTTCAGAGCCTTCTCTTCATTTGACAGTTGTTTTGCGCGATCAATCCAATGCGACAAAAATTTTGCTCTATGTGAAGCAACAACATGGTCAGAATTTTGTAAACTGAAAAGCAAAGCGTCCCGGAGTTCCTTGGGAATGGCCAGCTCAACGTCCAAGGGATGTTTGGCATCCACTGCTTTCTGCAAAAACTCTTCTTCACTCCAGTAAATGCCATGCAATCGCAGTTGTACAATGCACGGAAAGGTGTCCAGTATACTCAAATTTTCAACATTCAAACAAACATCAAAATTCTTCAAAGCACATTGCTCACATAAAGCATTGCAAAGCTGCTGTATATCTTCTCCCCCAACTTCCGCTTCATACAGTAGCTTGGATAGTGAGAAATCCGCAGTGTGTGCGGGCCAGATTTGAACACCATCGTGCAGCACAGAAACAAACTTTGTTTTAAACTCCGGGAGAAAAGTTGGAACCTTGTTTGTGCCAGCTTGTACATGTGTGAACGCTCTTGCAGCTTGTGTAGGCAAGGCAGCAGGAAGTGGAAAAACATTCTTACATCGAAGCGCCAATGCAATGGTTTCTGCTATTGTTTCACACAGTTTGCTTGGATAGTGGACTTCCAGTGCAGTTGCAAAAACACGGCGACCATCTTGTTTCTGAACGCCCCAGGGTTCATGCTTATGGTTACCCGGACAAGTCAAATTAATACGGTGAATTTCCTCAAAATTTGCAACAAGCTTGGTCCACTTGGGTCGCATAGAACCATATGCGCATGCTTGATGGATTTGCTCCACTTCCATGTCCTGAAATTCACGTTCACACCAAGGCGTCACACTCCAAAACAAAGAATCTTTAGGATTCTCACAGACAAAAAGTTTTCCCAACTTGCAACACAATTCATCACATGCAGCAACAAAGTCATATAAAATATTTGATTGCTCCACACGCAAAAAATCCCATCCAGCAAGGTGATCAACTCCGTCAGGCTGTTCCAGTGTACGCAATGGCTTAGGCAAATTTTCTTCTCCTTCCAGCTGGATCGTTCTAGCCATGCTTGCAGTGCCACATGGCGGCGCAAGAAAAACTGCTTTCACTTGCGGCATTTGAATCCACTCGAAGACAAGTTGTTGTGTTGCATATTGCGTGAGGTCAAGCTTGGTTACCATCGCCTTTGGCGACCGTGGCATTAATTTATCAATTGCAATGACATCAAAACCCAATTGCTTCAAGGCTGCACTGAGTCCAGCCGTACCACAGAAGATTTCCAGCACAACTGCATGGGAGCCTTGCATGGCCGGCTGTTGTTGTTGATCTAGTCACTCCGGCTGTGGTTTTGGCATGTCTGCACTGTGCGCCTCTTTGAACATGTGGTTTTTGAAACATCCACCACGAAAGCAAACATGCCGTCCTTTCGCACATGCACCTCCTGCTGGAGCCTTGTTACAGCCAGAAATATTATAGTCAAAGCAAATGGGCCTGTTTTTGGCATCTCGTCCAACGCAACCATGAAAACCTTTTGGGGCTGCATTTGAACCTGAGGATTTTCCACCTTTGCCACCTTTGCCACGACCCTTTCCTTTGAATCCAGTTGCTTGAGGATAGGGTTCACTTGTATACCTCTTGGTTGGGGCACTGTCCTCCTTTGCAACCAGCTTCGGAAGCGGCACCAAATGAAACGCCACAGAGTAGTCACGCAAGGCCCTCTCCAGTGCAGCGTCCAGCGGTCGAACATCATCGCCTGCTGGCCTGATATCTCTGATCTCTTGGGCCATGAATGCAAAAACTTCACGATCAGCACGAAGTACTTGCGCAAGAGTGGTGGCTTGAAAACCCACTGGAGGATCAATACTGAGGTGACGCAGCAGTTTCTCAGTATATAATTCATGCGCACCAAATGAGATAAGGTTTGCGAATTCATACGCTAATCCTCTTCGACGCAAGCACAAGGAAAGGCGGAATGTGGTGGAGATCGCTTCGTCAGGTACGCTTTTCGATTCCTTGACCGACAAAGTACCCGCATCCAACTTGAGCTTTTTATCCGATCTGCCAGTGGTTATCTCAAGCTCCCTGCTGGTGCAACGTTGAGGCTCAATATATTTGAGAACTCTTGATTCAAATTGCGAACAAACCTCATCCAGCAAAGCATGCGAAGGTTCACCAATGCCATGTATGTTCAAACCAACAAACCTTGTTCGCAGCTGTTCCATCCTGGCTGATTTTTCTGCAAAAGGAATGGGCCGTGGTGCACCCACATCAGGTGCTTCGACTGAAGCTCTGATGGTTGAAGTCAGCACAACTTCGCTCTCAAAGTGCAACCTACGTAAAGCTGCAGCTGCCCCCATGGCCAAGGGGACTCCATTGTTAACATCTGTAGCCCAATCGTTGAAAGCACGTTCCTCAAATTCTGAGCCAGGACGAAAAATCGCAAATGCTAAATGCCCCAATGTTGAGATTCCCAAAGCTTTCAATCTGTCAAGAAATGCATCAGGCAAGCCATATTCACGAGCCCTCGACGCAAAATGCGCCTCACTGTCCTGCACCCCTGCCATTGAACCGAAAACTCACATGAAATACAATTGCAAGACAATCAATGGACAGGCATTGGAAAATGAAGATGCACAACGCAACATGGACATCACAAGAATCAAAAGAAACCACAAAATGAATGCAAGCACAACGGAAAGATTGCATCAAACCAGATTCACCAATCACTCGGGCTGGACATACCAGCAAAATTGTTGGACATACCAACTTGTCAAGCATGTGCATCCACATGACTTATGCTGTTGACATACAACAGACCAAAAGCCGCAAGGCTCTTCATTTTTCTGTGCATCTCACATTGAGATCAGGTTCATAGGCAGTGTGCAAAACACTTGCCACATCTCAGACCTGTCAGTGCAGGCACTGCAACATAAATCTGGCCCAATTGGCGGCCGCAGCGGAACACCTTGTCATCTTTGACCTCATGGATCACGTTGGTCTTCACATTGATGTACCATTTCGGCACCAAGGCGGGAGCAGGCTGCCTGCAACCAGCAGAGTCCTCAGGCTCTGCCCAATCAAGTGATCCATCACTGTCAGAATCTGAACAGCTGCTTGATTCTTCTTCCGAACCATCATTCCACTCTGAAAGCAAATCATGCTGGTCCTCCAGGTCAATCACTCCGTTGTCCCACGCGGTCTCAGGCCATGTGAACTCAAGTTTCACTTCCGGTGACGCAATGGGCGTGCCCGGTGAATAACCCTCTTTCCTTTCTCCCAAGGCTGCCTCAGATGCCATCGCACCCTGATGCATTCCGTGCAAAGCTGCCTCCGACTGCTCAGTTGCAACAAAAGCGGCTGACTGACTGCTGCCAAGGAAGTTGCCATCAGGCACCAACAATCCTTTCGGAAATGGAGTTGCAGGAGCTCCAGCGGGAGTGTGGGCCGCCGGAGTGATCATCCCAGACCGCGACTTGTCAGGTTGAAAGGTCTGCTTCCGTATTGCCTCCAAAACACTTGTGAAGGAGCGCAATGCACTGGAAAGCAAATCCTGGGAGTACAGCACAGTCGCACCTTGCACGCTTGTAGCATGCCTGGCAAGGATTGCCCTGTGTTCTTGGGCTACTCCTAATTTGGAGCACCAAGAAAGCCCTGTGGCCTTCATGGAATGTGTCGTGATCTTCCGACCCGCAATCATCCTGCCTCCATCTGAGAAGAGCCTTTTGATGAACTTGTTGAGCTCGCTGGAAGTGATGTACCGATCGTCCCAGCCAATACCACTCCGCTTGGGTGAAAGAAGCATCGGCACGGCCTCACTGCCTGGGCTCCTCAAACCAGCTTTCAGCCTCAAGGCTAAATAAGCTTTTGCCCAGTTGCCACCCTTGATGCCAACTGCAGGTGCCACAATTGGCAGCAACTTGGAGCGAGCATCCATGCTCCTTGCGCCTTTGTGCAAGGTTGCACTCACTTCGAGGAAGGCGTCCTCCTCGTCGATGAAGAGCTCCATCACCGCCAAGAGGTCACTAAACCTTGCGCGAGCATACAGCATGTGCAAAAGATGCCCAATGAAGATCCTGTCCACATCGCATCTGCTCTCATCCATGAAGCATAGATGCAAGAACTCCACCTCATTGACGGAGAGGACATCAGATGGTCTCCATGGTTTCTTCCTGGCATAGATCTGTGCTGCCAGGCCCTTGATTCTCAAACTTTCCAAAACTTCCTGTGATCCATCGACCTTCATGGTGTAAAAGCAAAAACGAATCGACCCAAGCAGACTGACAGCTCGGGAGGCTGGTGCCTTGCTGTTACGTAGGTGTCTGACATAGTCCCAAACTCGCTGCTCAACGAGTGGAAGCCACGTTTCAGAATAGTTTCGAATCATCCACAAGTTGAACATCTTCAGAATGCACAATCGTTTCAAGAGCGTGTTGGGGCTTTTCAAGCCGAATATTGCGTCCAGAAGCTCAATCCCATAACGAAAGACATTGGACAGACCGGTCTCTTGAACCGCAGCTCTCCCAGGATCGCTTGCATTGAGGTTCAACCTCAGCAAATCCCACCACTGTCTTATGGCATGTTCTCTCTGCGCCTCACGCTCTTCCATGTATGTGCATCCAATGATGTTCTTGACCACGGATTGAAACAGTGCTGCATCCTTTCTCTCATATTGCACGGAGACTGATGCATCCAGTTGAAAACCATCTGAAACAGCAACACCAACTTGGACAAAGTTGTTGACACCCTGTTTGAGCCTAGGTTGTTTCAGCTGAAGTCTACCTTGCTCACCAAAAATTCTACCCAGCCTGCCTTTCTCCCAGGGGTAAAGGACTGGGCGCTTGTCGGTAAGCCGCAAAGCTTCTGAGACAACTGCAGGTGATGCCATAGATGCAACCGTCTCAAATCTCGCCGGTTCAGAAGACGCAGATGGTAAACTCTTGTCAACAAACTTCACACGGCTGTCACTTGCAGCTGTACGAAATGGCATCACAGGCGCAGAAGGTGGAAAGGAGGCCTCAACCTGCTCTGAAGGCTCATGAAGTTCCAAACCAGCAGAAGCATCCAAAGGTTCAAAAGATCCACCCAACGCAAGCAAAGGATTGTTGAAGTCCTCATCAAACTCATGGGCATCAAGCTCATCACCAGGAAGACTCACCGGCATGTCAGTAGGGCTATCATCCAGGCGTGCTTCTCTTGCACTGTACTTGTCTCTCCATCTCTTTCTCATCGCCGATTGCGATGTTCGTAGCAGGAATGAAAATTGTGTCCCTGCTTCCTTGTGCAAGCAGCGTCACACCAGCGGCAGGTGTACCCGCAGGACCAGGGTTTGAGCAGCCCCTGATCGTTGGTTGCCCCCCCAGTGGATGCAGCACCACTGGTAGATGCCTCAACCGAGACTGTGTGTGATGGCAATTGTGGGTCCACCCTATTTTGCAAAACCGCTGTGATCTCTTGCACTGTTTTCAAGAGAGCCCCAGTGCTATAACTATCCCAAGCAATGCACGGTGAATCACCGCACAAACGTTTCTCTCCCATGGCTCGGCGCGAAAACCGAAAAGGGTTCCCACCCGCCCACCCACTTGAGTGGAAGTTGCATATCGGGCGACATGCATTTTCACCAATAAAGTGTTGTCTCAAGCGACATTCACATTCATGTTCCAAGCGTAATATTTGCAATTTCACTTCCTACCAGGGACTTGAAGTATGCCGTCGTGCAACCGATTGGAATATTTGGACGCATCCCTTTGTCACCTTGTTTCATCCGATTTGAGTTGGGCAAGCGAACAAAGCACCGAACCCAATAGCCATCGCTGCCAGGAATCACGTAGCCTGGAACGGTTCAAAGCAATCGACTTATGGGCAGGTGGTAAGATGTCGAAAAAATAGTGTTTAAAATCCAAACGATTGGCGTGTTGTTTATGCAAAATCCTTCCCGAGGCAATGAAGTTGCGTTGTCGAAATTGAGGCTGGCACAATGCAAGTGCTGGAAGATTGAGCCCAACAAATTTGTGGTTCGTTTGGGCCACAAAAAAGCAACCAACGAACCGGAAAATCAAGCACATAAACCACTTCTGTGAAACAAGTAATTTCAACAGTTTTGTACATTTTTCCCCTGTTGTTTTTTCCAGTGTAAACGTGCAGTGTGTGGAGCCTAAAGACAGTGGACTGCACAGTGAGGAATGTAGTGTCTAGGTTATGAAATGGAGATTGTGGAGTGTGAAGTGGCGAGTGTAAAGTGTGGATGTAAAGTGTAATGTGGGCCTTCACGTGAAAAGTATGAAGTGTAAAGTGTAAAGTGTAGAGTGTGTAGTGTAGAGTGTAGGGTGTGAAGTGTAGAGTTTAAAGCATAGAGTGCAGAGCGTGCGTAAAGTGCAGTTGGAAAGCGTCAAGTGCGCAGTGTAAAGTGTAAAGTGTGGAGTGTAACGTGTAGAGCACGCAGTGGTAAGCGTAAAGTGTAGAGAGTGGAGTGTAAGGTGTGAAGAGTAGAGTGTGGAGTGCACAGTGTAGAGTGTAAAGCGTAGAGTGTAGAGTGTGGAGTACAAAGTGCAGAGTGTGGGATGTCAAGTGTAAACTTTAAAGTGTAGAGTGTGGAGTGTAAAGTGTAGAGTGTGGAGTGTCAAGTATAAAGTGTGAAGTGTAAAGTGTAAAGTGCGAAGTGTAAAGTGTGGAGTGCAAAGTGTAAAGTGTAAGGTGCGCAGAGTAAACTGTAAAGTGTAAAGCGTGGCGTGTAGACTGCGGAATGCGGAGCGTGGAGTGCAAACTGTAGAGTGCAGAGTGTGGAATGCAAAGTGCACAGTCTGAAGTGTGACGTGTAAAGTGTAGAGTGTGGAATGTCAAGCGTGAAGTGTGAAGTGTAGAGAGTGGAGTGTAAAGTGTAGAGTGCGGAGTGTAAATTGTAGATTTTCAAGTGCGCAGTGTGAAGTGTAAAGTGGGGAGTGTAAAGTGTAACGTCTACACTTGTAAGTGCGAAGTGTAGGGTGTGGGGTGTCAAGTCTAAAGTGTGAAGTGCAAAGTTTAAAGTGTAGAATAGAGTGTAGAGTCTACAGTGTAGAGCGTAAAGCGTAGAGTGGGGAGTGGTGAGCGGAAAGTGTGAAGTATAAAGTTTAAAGTGTAAAGCGCAGAGTTTCGAATGGAAAAAAGTATAATGTAGAGTGTCCCAAATACTGCGCCTGCCACGCAAAATGACATTCCACGCACAACACATCTGCGCCAAATACTGCCCTTGCCACGCAAAATTACAATTTCACGATGTCCCAAGGTTGTCACCACTTGACACGGCCCTGACAATGTGATTTGCAAAACACGCAACACCATACGTCTAAAGTGCTGCCCCTGCCACCCAAAATGAAAAAAGGGCAGCGCCTGCCACGAAAATGCAAGTCATCTTCTGAAAACGATGCACAAGTATTGAGCCTGTCACACAGAACGACTTTTGACATGTTATGAAACACGTCGGAATGTCACGAAGCGCCACGCCTGCCGTACGAAACGACGTTACGCGACGTTTCAAAACTCCAAAAGTGACCACTTTTGTAACACTCCTCATAGGCACGGCCATAGCGTCTTCATTGTGAACTGTCGCAAAAGGTTGCAAAGGTTTGCAAATGGCTGCCACTTGGAACCGACCCTGCTTGCATCTAGATAGCTGACTTACTATCTACTTAGCGCACATAGCATGTCACTTAGCTTTCACTTAGCTCTCACTTAGCAAGTTGCACAGATATATGTCTACTTAGCACACTTAGGTAAGTCTACTTAGCCCACTTACGGCGCACTTAGCTATGTAGGCTAGGTAAGCTATGTCACCCCGTCGCAACATGTATTTTTGTGTTTTACAGCCATGGATTTGTCAAAGTGCATGAGGCAAAACAAAAGCATAGCAACACATGATCCGTGTTTTTTCAAAATTACACCGGCATAGACCCCAGATAGAAAAGGTTGGAACTGATGGTTCCCAACGTGGGAACCAAAGGTTTACATGGCAAGGAACTGCCGGTTCCCAGACCTTGAAACTTACAGTTCCCAACCTGGGAACCAGAGGTTACCATTGCAAGGACTTGCCGGTTCCCAGAAGTTAGAATTTATGTTCTCGAAGCTAAGCAACTATCATTGTAAGGAACTGCGGATTCCCAAAGATTGAAACTCGTGGTTCCAAACCTGAATAAGCATACGTTACCAGTGGAAGGATCTGTTGATTCCAAAAAGATAAAAATCATGGTTCTTAATGTTGTTTTGTTTTGTTTACTGAGCCGGTAACAGAACCTTTTGTTTTGCCTAATGGACCGGTAGCGGAATGTTTGCGTTCGGCTGCTGGGCCGGGAAAAAAAATGTTTTTGCACGAAAAAGGTGCATGCTAAAATGATATGAAAACATTTTCTTTACAACTTTATGGTTTTGCTTAATGGACCGGCAAAGAACGCTTTGTTTTGCTTAATGGACCGGTACCAGAATGTTTGCGTTTGGTTCATGGCAAGGAACTGCCGGTTCCCAAAGGTTGGAACTCACGGTTGCCAACGTGGGAACCACAGGTTACCATTGCAAGGAACTGCCGGTTCCCAGAGGTTGGAACTCATGGTTCCCAACCTGGGAACCAGAGGTTACCATTGCAAGCAACTGCCGGTTCCCAGAGGTTGGAACTCATGCTTCCCGACCTGGGAACCATAGGTTACCATTGCAAAGAACTTCCAATTCCTAAAGGTTGGAACTGATGGTTCCCAACGTGGGAACCAAAGGTTACCATGGCAAGGAACTGCCGGTTCCCAGACCTTGAAACTTGCGGTTCCCAACCTGGGAACCAGAGGTTACCATTGCAAGGAATTGCCGGTTCCCAGAAGTTAGAATTTATGTTTTCGAAGCTAAGCGGCTTTCATTGTAAGGAACTGCAGGTTCCTAAAGCTTGAAACTCACGGTTCCAAGCCTGAAAAAGTAACGTTACCAGTGGAAGGATCTGTTGATTGCAAAAAGTTAGAACTCATGGTTCTTAATGTTGTTTTGTTTTGTTTACTGAGCCGGCAACAGAACCTTTTGTTTTGCTTAATGGACCGGTAGCGGAATGTTTGCGTTTGGCTGTTGGGCCGGCATAAAAATGTTTTTGCACGAAAAAGGTGCATGTCAAAATGATATGAAAGCAGTTTCTTTACAACTTTATGGTTTTGCTTAATGGACCGGTACAGAACGCTTTGTTTTGCTTAATGGACCGGTACCCGGTACCGGAATGTTTGCGTTTGGTTCATGGCAAGGAACTGCCGGTTCCCAAAGGTTGAAACTCACGGTCGCCAACGTGGGAACCACAGGTTACCATTGCAAGGAACTGCCAGTTCCCAGAGGTTGGAAACTCCTGGTTTCCAACCTGGGAACCATGGGTTACCATTGCAAGCAACTGCCGGTTCCCAGAGGTTGGAACTCATGCTTCCCAACCTGGGAACCATAAGTTACCATTGCAAAGAACTTCCGGTTCCGAAAGGTTGGAACTGACGGTTCCCAACGTGGGAACCGAAGGTTACCATGGCAAGGAACTGCCGGTTCCCAGACCTTGAAACTTACGGTTCCCAACCTGGGAACCAGAGGTTACCGGTTACCATTGCAAGGAATTGCCGGTTCCCAGAAGTTAGAATTTATGTTTTCGAAGCTAAGCAACTATCATTGTAAGGAATTGCCGGTTGCGAAAGCTTGAAACTCGTCGTTCCAAACCTGAAAAAGTAACGTTACCGTGGAAGGATCTGCTGATTCCAAAAAGTTAGAACTCATGGTTCTTAAAGTTGTTTTGTTTTGTTTACTGAGCCGGTAACAGAACCTTTTTGTTTTGCTTAATGGACCGGTAGCGGAATGTTTGCGTTGGGCTGCCGGGCGAGAAAAAAAGTTTTTGCACGAAGAAGGTGCATGTCAAAATGATATGAAAACAGTTTTTTCTTTGCACCTTTATGGTTTTGCGTAATGGACTGGTACAGAACGCTTTGTTTTGCTTAATGGACCGGTACCGGAATGTTTGCGTTTGGTTCATGGCAAGGAACTGCCGGTTCCCAAAGGTTGGAACTCACGGTTGCCAACGTGGGAACCACAGGTTACCATTGCAAAGGATCTGCCGGTTCCCAGAGGTTGGAACTCATGGTTCCCAACCTGGGAACCAGAGATTACCATTGCAAGCAACTGCCGGTTCCCAGAGGTTGGAACTCACGCTTCCCGACCTGGGAACCATAGAACACCATTGCAAAGAACTTCCAATTCCTA